ACTAGGAACAAATTGGGGTGGCCGTTTTTTTTTTCTTCGAAAAATATCGTTCCTAAGGGTCAGGAGAACCAAATCACTGACGGCACTATCAAAAAATGCGATTTTTTTCGTTTTTTTCTTATAGTGCCAATTTTGTGGTACCTAGTAAAATTCCTTAAGAAGAATATTTTCAAGAGAAAAAAAAAACGGCCACCCAAAATTATTCGAAGTATTCACAGTAAAAATTTCAGGTCGATTGATTGCGGTGCGAGAGGAGAAAAGGGGGGAAAACTTTATTTTTGTGCTGAAAAAACTGATTTTGAGAAAAACGCAAAGAAATTTCTGTTTTTTGGTTTTTTCAGCATATTTTGTGATTTTTTTCGAAGTTTTGTATATATAAGATGTGGATTTTCAGTTCTCAAAGTGTACTCAATGGATAGAGGGCATTTAAATCTATATAGTAATCACAAAAAATGAAAAACAAAAAGTGTGAAAATTTTGAGTCGGGAAAGGGGGGGGGGGGGTCCCCTTAAATAATTTCATACTACAGAAAACAAGTTTGGCAAAATTCATTCATTGGAGCTATTCTTCAGGAGTGTTTAGATGAAAGTTACACTTCTCGTATCACTAATAATCTGAGCATAGAGTCTTCAGGCAACTGAAATTTAAATTCACAGAAGAGTTAGCAAACGAATTGAAAAACTTATATTAAACGGTTTTTTTTAAAATTCGGTGTTGAATTCAGCGCAATCATATCAATTGATTTGAAACTTTTGGTTTCATCTCAGTTCAATAAAATTTATGTCATTCAAGAAAGCACAAAAAAAAGTTGAATGAAACTTACTAATGTTCTTGAAGGTGCGGTAATAAATGTACAGCAAAAACCAAAAACGTTTTCATTAGAAACAGCAACGATCTCCCATTTTTTCTATCTCTCTCTTAATCACAGTTTTCTTTATTTTGTTTTCATTTGTCCTTGACATGCATACACATGTATATATTGATGTAGGTGTGAAAGTAACAATGAAAAAAAAATAACGAAAAGAATCATTCGTTTAGAAAAATAGAAATAGAGATCGATGTTCATACATTTTGCTCATCTCTCTGCTCTTTTGAATGATTTCATTTTTATTAATTTACTACAAGATCAAAAGTTTCCAACTTCTAGGTCTAATATCATAAATTTGATTATAATTCATTGGTATTTTTAGTCTAAGGTATTATAGAGATAGTTTGATATAGCACAAATTTTTGAATAATCGGTTAATATTTAGGTCATTTATGTGAAATGTATTATCAACATCTAAATATCCTGTTAAGTAAGAAATTCAAATAACTGTGTATGAAAAAATAACAATTTTTCAAAAAATTCATTATTATTGTCAAAATGAAATCTAGCATTACTGTTGGTTATATGGAAAAAAAGACTGTGATACTTTTATTCACTATTCATTTTTATTTTCGTCAATGACTTTCGATTCTTTTATTAGTGAACGTATAGTACTGGCATAATAAGGATTTACTCAAGATCTGTCTCACAGATAGTTATTAGCTGAGACTTGCTATACGAGTTTATAAGCAGGGGCGGCGCGACTGGGGGGGGGGGGGGGGG